TATTTCTGGCGACGCTTTGAAGTTCTTCATTAGAGAAACAACAACAATCTACCTAGCACGTTTCACTAGACGATGTGTATAAACTAATTTTTTGTTCTCTAGGCCTACATAACAGACCTAAAAACAACAGCATTCTGACTATCCCTATTCATAACAAGTAACCATGGTATTAATCGTTATTTAAAGTACCATATATTATTTCGCATTTCAGCCCACAATAAAAAATGAATTAATAAATTTTTATTTTTCCCAATAGCAGTTTTCCGACGCGTTGATATACCTTTACCTACAAATTCGCATCTTCCGTGGTGATTGTCGGGGTTTGATTTTTAAGTCTGAAAGTATGTAACGGTTTCACCGTCCGATCGTATTTATTAAATCACTTCTCGATTATCATTTCATTAATCCCATCTCTAGCTTTTTTGCTTGGAAAATTTTCCGCTTGGAGCGCTTGATGCGGAGTTCCTGATCTGCGATCTTCCTCGCGCTTCCTTTTCACTTGAGCCGCCGATCTAGCAAGAGCTAAGAATTTTCTTCTCTGTAGCACAAGGTCATATAGCACCATGTGCTAGAATTTTATAGAATGTGTATCCGAATAGGACAAAATGGTGAGTTTTATAATACTATACAGTTTTATTGCTGGATCTGCCTGTAGTTTATAGATAATCGATATTTAAGTGGTTTATTTCTTGTACGATTTTAGAATATCCATCGAACGTCATTTTCGACTACTTCGATCATTCGCCATAACTTTAATCAAATCGAGGTAGAAATCGATCCACATCGATTTTACCTCTGTGTGCGTATATATATTCATAGTTCAGTGAAATTATGAGTACGTTGATTATGAATATTCGAAAATTGTGTTTTTATATCAGAAGCATGTGGAGAAATTTTTGATGACCACCATCTTGTTTTACGCTTTTTTTGCTATTTCATGATTTTATTTTATGAAAGTCATTTCCAATTTTCGGTTTGATTTTATCAAACTATGTAATGTAATTCTAACCTAGAAAATCGTTGGTTCTCTTTTGAGGCAGACTGAGATAGGAAATGCCTTGGCCATTAGGGCACGTTGCTAATGCACACGGTTCTTTTTCAGATTGGGGCCACCCCCTTTCTCTTTCTCTTTCCCTTTCTCTTTCTCTTCCCCTTTCCCTTTACCTTTGTCTTTAACTTTGCTTTTGCCTTAGTCTTTGACTTTGCGTTGCTTGGCCTATCACTTCACCCATGCATGTGCCTTGGCAGCGCCATCGCCTTTAAGTTCAACTTCGCCTACAACTGGTTATGAAGCCACTATATGTGAGGTCACCCCTCACAACTGGGATCTCCACTTCAAGCACCTGGCCATCCTCGCTTCAGTCGAGTCAAAATCGACCAGCGAAAGATAAGTTGATAGTTTTATAGCAGCGCCAAAGATGTAAAACTTATTTTGTTCTTTAAAACTGTAAAAGTGTAATGTAATGGAAATGTTTTTTTTTTTGTTAAATAAAATCTGTTAAATTTTTGTGTTCTGTTTGTTCTTCTATCCTCTAGCCATGCCATGGTCGACGCACAGCTACACGCCTGTAGATGTCTTCATGCCACCGACTGAGCTACCGGAAGCTAATGGTAACCCCCTTTCTGTGATTGTGCAGAAAAGTTGGAATCTTCATTGCATTCCATCTTTTCTGGACTTTTTGCGGAAAGGAAGCGTTACATAAAGTGGCGCCCAACGTGGGGCTTCGATTGGTGTTTGGCTTTGTCGACAAGTGGTTTGCTAGTGCAAGATTGGCAGACAGAACATAGTTTTCAAAATTCTTTACAATTTTTGGCAGCATTTCTATTTTTAATTACTTTTGGTACTCAAATTTCTAATTCTTGAATCATCCTTACTTTTTGCTTAATGTTTAAAATTTTTATCAAAAGATTAAAATTTTTCCACCTGTTTATTTCATAGGCGTACTATGCTTTATTAACTTTTAAAATTGTCTTGTTTATTAGTCAGCGAGATCATTGCCAGAATTTTTTTTTATCACATACTACTATAGTTTTTATTTACTGCTGGGGACAGTTATAACTTTTTTCTCATTGTAGTTTTGAGATTGATGATATTTTGATAATTTTTTGTTGAATATTGATAGTCTGGGGACTTTAGGTTCCCCAGCATTTTTGTCGAATATCATCAAACTTTTGATTGAGGTTGTGACCATTGTTGTTGATAGTTAACATATTCTTATATGCTTTTCATTTTTGATCACTAACCTCTTAGTTTTTGAAAGTATTTCTTCATGTGCAGTTTTTTTGATTTCTTGAGACTTTTCATGTATGCATATATAGCCTAATTGTTGGATCTCTGGTGTACTGATATAGCTCTCATGATGTTTGGTACGTAGGAAATTTACTTTCAAAATTATTTTTGCCTTCCCCAAATGTATTTACTTTTTGAATTTTTGAATGTACTTGAACTTTTGATCATTTGTTTTCATTCTGATGGCAATAATCTACTGACTAGAGTTATCTGGAATAAATCATTTTGCGATTTATCCATTTGTCTGAATTGTATGAAATTGATATTCATAATTTTTCGTACATTTTGGCGGTTTACTTTTTTTTAAGTATTGACACTTTGACATAGTGCGTTGATACTTACCTTTCTTTTTTTTTCAAGAAACAAATGATGTTTTTCTTGACTATATTTTTGCTACTTTTCAATGGGGGTGACTCCTAAATCATTTTTACCTATACAAAGACACACATACTCATTTATGATAATTAAATTTCAACTTGTTGTTGAAATAGTATACGTTCCTCAGTAACTATTATAGTAATTTTGTCTTTTTGGAGCATAAGTTTTCATAATTTTAATGCTTTATAGTTTTATCTGGCATATTCTTTGGGGGAAATTAGAACATTAGTGTCTGATTTTCCACTGGATTAACAGGACTTGAACGTCTCTGTACTTTTTTAATGTATGACAGATATAAAATAATTTTTTTAAGATTCGGCTGCTCCTGTTTTTGTATTGAAACTGTTTGTTTGTATTGTTAGTTTTTTATAGTGTTTTGGATCCTTGTCATTTATTGATGTATTCAGGTTTTTAACTTTTTTTTTTAAAATATAATAATTACAAAAAAAAACGCTCAATCGAAGGGGGCGAGTTTTTCGATCTGTACATTGGAGCGAGTAGGTTTTCCTATATTTATTTCCTAGTACAGATGCGAACGGAGAAGAATTTCCTTTGATAATGATTAAACTTATTTGCTGTAAGAGGCAGCTGAATGTTTACTTTGGACATTTAACATCGTTGATCCTTCAACCTTTTGAAATATTACAATTTGTCCAATAATCATATTTCCGCTCAATCAAAGGGGGCGAGTTTTTCGATCTGTACATTGGAGCGAGTAGGTTTTCCTATATTTATTTCCTAGTACAGATGCGAACGGACAAGAATTTCCTTTGATAATGAATAAACTTATTTGCTGTAAGAGGCAGCTGAATGTTTACTTTGGACATTTAACATCGTTGATCATTCAACCTTTTGAAATATTACAATTTGTCCAATACTCATATTTCTGCTCAATCGAAGGGGGCGAGTTTTTCGATCTGTACATTGGAGCGAGTAGGTTTTCCTATATTTATTTCCTAGTACAGATGCGAACGGACAAGAATTTCCTTTGATAATGAATAAACTTATTTGCTGTAAGAGGCAGCTCAATGTTTACTTTGGACATTTAACATCGTTGATCCTTCAACCTTTTGAAATATTACAATCAGTCCAATACTCATATTTCCGCTCAATCGAAGGGGGCGAGTTTTTCGATCTGTACATTGGAGAGAGTAGGTTTTCCTATATTTATTTCCTAGTACAGATGCGAACGGATAAGAATTTCCTTTGATAATTGTTAAGCTAATTTTCTGTAAAAGGCAGTTGAATGTTTACTTTGGACATTTGTCATCGTTGTTCTTTCAACCTTTTGAACTATTACGTCAGTCCACCATTTGCAAAATTTACAAGTCATAATTAATTTTCTGATTCCAATTTAATGTGTATACTTCATCTTTTGAATATTTCATTTTTCTGAGTGTACTCAAAATTTAAATTGCATTCCCGATCAAAATCATGTGACAAATACTGTGTATATTATTTTATAATGTTTTTGTGCGTATATTTACTGAATTTCGTTTACATACTTACGTACCTCTATTTTTGAAGTCTATTACTTTTGAAGTTTTTGATAGTATCCTCTTTTTGAATTAATCATAACTTTCTTCGAGAGCACAGACTTACATTGATTTTTGGTTCAAACTTTTGATGTTTGTTCACATACTTTTGAGTGGTTTTGAACTTTGACAGTATTTTGTAGTCTGGATAGTTACATAGATTCGTTGCGATGTATGCCTTTGAGGGTCTTGTACTATCCACAGTTTCTTTAATTGAAAGTGTTTTCTTCATATGCATTTTATTTTCTTCTTGAGACTTGTCATATATGCTTTCCGCCTAGTTGCAAATCTGTGCGTATTGATAAACTCTTGAAACCTCTGGCGTATAAGTAAAACTCACTTTTGATATAGTAATTTATGTCTCAGTTCAATTCAATCAGTTCAATTTGATTTGAAGTAATTGTCAATTCCTTCTTGAGATTTTTCATATATGCTTTCAGCCTTTGTGCACATTTGTGCGTATTGCTAAGTCTTGAGCTTGGTTGCGACATTGCTTTCATGTTTCGCTATATATTTTGAAATATCTCGTAATTTTGCTTTTGCATTATTGCATTTGTTTTGATAGTCTGCTCTCATAGTTTTTTTCCGACTTCTTATTTCTTTCAATTTCTGTCTTGACTTGAACTAATCGCCAATTCTTATAGATTCTTGCACGACATATAAAGCGCAAACATATAGGGGAAAGTGAAGTCCAAAAAATTCTATCACTACTAGTTAACTCGATTGATAGGAAACGTTGCATAAGTAACTTGAGAAAGAAGGGCAATTTTATTAAAAATTCAAGTACTTTTTCCAAGCCAGTACATAAAAGTGCTGTGAATGATAGCGAAGAAAATTATATGCCTTGTCCTTTCTGCCTAGGTTTTTACACACGTAAGCTACTATGGAAACATAAAAGAACTTGTCCACTAAATAAAGATCCTTCAAAAACCGTTCCTTTAAGTGAAGGTCAAGACCTTATGCTACCTAAGAATATAGCAAATTCTTCATTAAAGACTATAGTCTTCCCACGGATGTTGGCCGATAAAATTTCACTGACAGCAAAAAAAGATGCTCTTATATGTGCCTTTGGATCTAGGTACATCAACACACACAGAGAGCAACATCACGTTAACGTTTGCTCAAGAAAAATGAGAGAACTTGCCAAGGTTTTGATGGAATGTCAAAAACTAGATCCTGCAATCAAAAACTTATTTGACGTGCTTCAGCCACAGCACTTTGACAGTGTAGTACAAAGTGCCAAAGTTATTGCCAGATATAACACGCAAACAGATGTTTTCGAATCTCCGACATTTGCGATGAACATAAGCAGATCTCTAAAAGACTGTTGTGATATGGCAGTTTTACATATTTTCAAAAAAAAATGTAATTATTTGACAATTTCTACCTCACAAGCAGAAGCAAATATCGGGGTGTTCCGACAATTATTGGAGAATAAATCATGCTGGAAGGGACTTGAATACGAAGACATGGAACAAAGTGACACTGGTCCCACTAGCTGCAGACTTGAAGTTGTTCAGAAACTATCTAATAGAGAAGGGAAATACAGCTGCTCGACGATTGCAACAAACTAAAAATAATTTTGAGGCATTCATCTTATTAATGGAGACAGCATTTTGTAGAACATTACTTTTAAACCGTAAAAGAGTGGGTGAACTACAAAGAATAGAAGTAACAACTTACATGGCAGCTGGGAAAACAAGTGCCACACATTATGAAGAATTTTCTGAAGCAATTACATCTGCAGAGCAGGTACTTGTAAAAAATTTTAAGAGAGTCGCAACTCGAGGAAAAAGGGGCAGAGGAGTACCAGTTTTGTTTAGTAGAGATGTACAAGACCACATCAAGGTTTTGTTGGACGCACGAGCTACATTTATAAAAGAAAAAAATGTTTTTCTTTTCGCAAATCCGAATTCTGAATGCCAACCCATTGTTGGATACAAGGTAGTTCAAAAGCATGCGAACATGTGTGGTGCCAAAAACCCACAAGCTTTAACTTCGACTAGACTGAGAAAACACCTTGCGACACTGACGCAACTATTTAGTATGACTGAAGGGGACATTGAGCAATTAGCCACCTTCATGGGACATACCATGAATGTACATAAACATGTTTATAGGCTACCAGACGACGTAGATCAGACGGCAAAGATTGCCAAGTTACTTATGTTGATGGAAAAAGGAGAAGCTGGGAAATACAAAGGTAAAGCTCTAGACGAGATAGACGTAGACAAGGAAGAAATGATAGAAGAAAATTAGACGGATATTTTGAGGGAAGAGCAGAGTTCCGCATCAGCCACAGTATCTGCTGTCGATGACGATAAGGCAGATGCAGAGGGAAATACAGAAAACATAGCTACTGAAAATAACCAAAGCATTCAGCAAACAAGAAAGCGTATTTTAGTTCCATGGACCAACAAACAAAAACAAATTGTTACACAATTTTTCAAGGAACACATTAAACAGAAGAAACCTCCCAAACGTGGTGAATGTGAGGCTTTGATAGAAACGCATCCAGATGTGCTAGCAAATAAATCATGGACTAAAGTCAAAGTCTTTATTCAAAACCTATATACTAAGAGAAAATGAATATGTGCTTAGGTAGGCCTATTACTTGTTCAAAGTTTTCAACATAGAATGGAAAAATCTATTCCTAATACCTTTCATTTATAGTTTTAACTTAGGTTTACTTTTTGTTAATATTTTAGTTTTTCAGTAAAGGCTGTATACTACCTGTTGTTGTTTTAATATGTCGGTTTAACAAATACCACGTTAACTTTGAAAGCGCTATATCGAGACGTTTTCAAAGTGTCTGATCTTAATCCAGAGGTACTCTCAATCCTTCAGCGACTAAACAGTAAAGTAAAAATCTTGGCCATTTCAGCAATGAAGGAGAAGGAAGAGAAGCAGAAAAAAGAGGATAGGTAACCCGAGCGACACGTGTCTCTGCTAATTGGCTTCGTCAGGCCTAAATAAATGTGCACATCCACACATCAAGGTGACCTTGACTCCTCAGGTTACACCCGTATCCAAGTGTATGAGTATGTCTGTTCACCTCGGTGGGTGGATATGCATATCCATTTGGGCCTGACGAAGCCAATTAGCAGAAACACGTGTCGCTCGGGCTACCTATCCTTTTTTTTCTGCTTCTCCTCCTTCTCCTTCATTGCGGAAATGGCAAAGATTTTTCCTTTACTGTTTGTTCCACTGTACCGCAAAACTGCCTATTACCTACAGCGACTTTTCACAATCACAAATACGGCGTATATAAACAGTAATGCTAATTCATTTTGATATTTCAGTCATAAAAATCCAATGCTTTACTTGTTGAATAATGGAGGTCATATAGGTTGACTGTACTTCCAAGGCAATTCTGTCATCAATTTTTATATATTATAAGTATGGTTTATTTCCAAAGATAGCGCTGTATCAACTTCAAAATAGAAAGATGGACCAAAGCAATTGCATGTAAAATATAGGGTTGACTGCTTAGACTTGGAACATGCTACCAACAGACTGAATGAACACTATATTTTCCACGATTAGATATGTCACTTATTGTAGTAATAGCTATTAAAATTAAAGTGTAATTAAATCAACTCTCATTGGATAAAGGTAGAAAGTCAACTAGGTTTATGTATATCAAAGAAAGAATGAGTTCAGAGGATAATGAAATTTGTGGGTGCCGTGAAACGGACTCTGGCGAGGGATCCGCCGTCTGGACCTCCACGCTTGACTTGAATTTTACAGCTTCTTACAAATAATGCACGACGATCAAGAAAAAGTTCACCTATCGGCAACACCGCAGGACGCATAAACCTGTGTCAGCCGAAAAGAAATATTCTTAAGGACGTAGAAAGATGGTGGAATGAAAAATATACATGGACGCAAAAACCTTCACTGAATGTGACGGACGTTGAAAAGTGGTCAAATAGATTTTCATATTTTTTTTCAGCACAAAAGCATCGCAGATCAGTATACTTCATATTTCTCAGTCGGTAATGATGAGATCTGCGTGGATTGCCGCCAAAATCTCTCTCTCTCTCTATATATATATACATATATATATAGGGTTATCCAAATTAAGTGTCCACCATTGGTAACTTTGTTATTAGTAAAAATACAAAGTTGTTTAAATTAGCAAACTAGTAGCATTTTTAACGCTGGTAAAAATGAGAAATAAAAAAAAACAATTGAGAGTCGTTATTTTGATTTTTTTCAGTAAAATAACATTTTTTTAAATGGAAACCCCTGTATATTATATTTTTTTCTGTTAAAGCATCAAATTTTAAACAAAAAAGTTCATAATGACTTTTCCGCTAAAGTCAAAATAACGATAAACATTTTTAATTATTTGCAGTATTATAATATTAAGACGGCTATGAAAACAACATGGCGTTCGCGATTTGACAGCATTAAGATAAGCGACAAATTGTTAAACTGGACATACTCGCAACTAGAAGGCTTTGGAAAACAATGATAAAATCAAATAATGTCAAACATTAGTGTAAATACTTGTTTATATGCTTTATTGTGTCATTAATTTAAAGAAAAATGTTCTCCCATGAAGAAAAGTGTGATATGTTAGAATGCTATTTAGTGTGCAGAAAATCCTCCTTGAGAGCAAGAGAATACTACAGTGATTTATATCCCGCTCGCATTCAACCGTATGAACGATATTTTCTGAGACTTTATCGAAAATTTAGGGGCAACGAAAATGTTTTTGCTAAAACAAGGGCAAAAAAAGAATTCATAATAAGCGAGGCCACGGAAATTGCAGTTATTGGATATTTTGAAGCTTATCGTGAGAATTCAATAGCAGATATTCTCAAGGACTCTAATTTCAGTTATGGTACTGTTCAAAGGATTTTAAAAAAATACAAATTTATTCCGTATAAGTACCGACCAGTTCAAACGCTTTTGGCAGGGGATCCAGAGAGAAGACTTGTTTTTTGCCATTGGTATCTTAGCTTCTGTCGCCAAAATGTAAATAACTTTCGTTACCTTTTATGGACAGATGAATCAAATTTTTCAAATTCTGGAATGTTTAATAGAAAAAACCACCATTATTGGTCAAGAGGAAATCTTTTGTTAGTACATCCAAGAGGCCCACAAGTCCGTTTCAGTTTCAACGTTTGGTGCGGTATAATTGGTTCAAAAATTGTTGGCCCGTTCTTTTATGAGGGAACCCTAACTGGTGAAAGATGTGTGGAATTTATGTCAGAAATTCTGACTAATTTCTTAGACGAATTGGATCTTATAAGTAGACATCATCTGCATTTTCAGCAAGATGGCGCACCTGCCCACAACTCCAGAGGTACTTATCATTTTCTAAGTACTACTTTTAATGATCAGTGGATAGGAACAAATGGCCCAATACAGTGGCCTCCCAGATCACCAGATCTAAACCCACTTGATTACTTCTTGTGGGGTTACTTAAAGAACCAAATTTACAAGCGAATGTACGATAACCTTGACGCGTTAAAGACTGCAGTTAGGGAAAAGATAACCCAGATAGATGGTAGGACCATACTTAAGACAGTTCGAGCAGTTGAAAAACGTGCCCAAAAATGTATTGAAGAACAAGGTGGTGTTTTCGAGCATCTTCTTTAAAAAAAATTGTTATTGTATTTTGTAAGATTATAAGTTGATGTTGAAAATAAAGTTTGTCGATACAATTTAATTGTTTCAGATTGGAGGCCATAACTTCAACAATTTGTAACCTAGGAGAAAAGTTATTGTAAGCTTTTTTGTTTAAAATTTGATGCTTTAACAGAAAAAAATATAATATACAGGGGTTTCCATTTAAAAAAATGTTATTTTACTGAAAAAAATCAAAATAACGACTCTCAATTGTTTTTTCTTATTTCTCATTTTTACCAGCGTTAAAAATGCTACTAGTTTGCTAATTCAAACAACTTTGTATTTTCACTAATAACAAAGTTACTAATGGTGGACACTTAATTTGGATAACCCTGTATATATATATACATATATGGTGAAAAATTAAAGCTTCCGCCTTTTGTTGGGTACTTCGACAAAATTTAAGCAAAGAGGACTCTTTATACTTTTTTTTTTAATTCTCTCTAGCTTTCAATGGACTTTGCCATCATCATCAGGCGCTGCAATTACAATGATAACAGTAGCAACAAAAGTGTAAAATGAATTTAAATTGACTCAACTTACAGTAGTATGTGAGGATGCTGCTAATTGTTGTTTACGTATAGGATGAGGGAAACGTCCAGTAACATGGTGAGAGCTGGATAGATTTTACAATGGCCAAAATTATATAAAATATGACAAGAACAAGTTAAAAACAGATTATTATTTAAAAACATTAGAGCATTACATCGTGAAGCCACTTGATGATTGCACAAAATGGTGGTCATGGAATAATGAGTGAGATGAACCCTTTGACAGAAGGCCGAAGGTTGTCAATGTCTGTGTTGAAAGATGGAACGAATTGTGGGCGTGTGCCAAACGTTGAAAATCACTTCAGATGATGTGATTTTCAGAATGTTATGTAAAAAAATGGTTAAACCGACCAGAGGAAGTTGAATAAACTATATTTGAA